CAGGCCGGGCCTTTCTCAGCCTTTTAGCACGGCTGTGTCCCTCCATAATCAGATCTGGCTCTGATGTCCCACACTTGACCTTGCATTAGGTGCTTCTCACTCCCGTCACAAGTGCTGCTGAACACACCTCTGATTAGGGCTGCACGATAAATATCGCACGATATTTAATGCGCATCTCGTCAGTAAAGCCGGTTCTGTAATCAGCGGTAAATCTCTACACGTGTGTGCTGTCACGTGGCGCAACATTTACTACACAGAGCCGTTGTTCACAGACAAGCTGCGCAAAACCACGATCATATTTTGTGCATGTTTTGCGCAGCTTGTCTGTGAACAACGGCTCTGTGTAGTAAATGCTGCTCCACGTGACAGCACGCACGTGTAGAGATTTACCGCTGATTACAGAACCGGCTTTACTGATGAGATGCGCATTAAATATCGTGCGATATTTATCGTGCAGCCCTACCTCTGATATAAAAATCGACCTACATCAGCCCAAGAATAATGCAGCTGATGGCATCCTAATGGAGAATTAAATAATGCAGAGTATGTTATGAATATTTTTTTTTCTTGGTAGGGAGCAGCCAATATTCAGCTTGAAGGCACACGTCTTCCAAATTGACCCGGCCACTAAACGAAATTGGATTCCAGCCAGCAAACACGCCGTCACCGTCTCCTTCTTCTATGATGCCGACAGGAGCGTGTATCGCATTATCAGCGTAGGGGGCACTAAGGTGAGAGACAACTTAGTGTTGTTGCCGCAATTAATGCTCTTTTTGTTATTTGTGCCGTGATGTTATTAAAAGGTGGTATTTTTTTGTTTTGCTCTAATGCAGGCGATTATCAACAGCACCATTACACCTAATATGACCTTCACAAAAACGTCACAGAAGTTTGGCCAGTGGGCGGACAGCAGGGCCAACACAGTGTATGGCCTTGGGTTTGCCACTGAGCAGCAGCTTCAGCAGGTAAATGCATATTGTAGCACGGTTTTAGTAAAGGGATAGTTCACCACAAAATTAAAACTTTGTCATCATTTACACACCCTCATGTTTCAAACCTTTGTGAGTTTCTATCTTCTGTTGTGCACAAAAAAAAAAATGATGTGAAGAATGTTTTGTAACCAAACAGTTGAAGGTAGCCATTGACTGGAGGAAAATACTATGGAAGTCAGTGGCTACAGTCAATTGTTTGTTTCCCACATTCCTCAAAATATATTGTTTTGTGTTCAGAAGAAGAAAGAAATACATGCAGGTTTGGAATGACATGAGTTTGAAAATGACTAAATTGTCATTTTTGGGTGAATTTAAGCTTTAAGGAATGTTGTGGGTTAAGCAAATCAATGTAAATTGTAAAATAAATGGTAAAACAAACAAAAAAGTGGATTAATATTTATGGATTTACACAGGACTTTTGACACTGACTTTTTTGCTAAGGAGCATATGTGCTCCAGGTTGAAAAATGTGAGTGCTTTCAAAAATGTTATGGACGCAATGAAAATGTTTAAAATAATGTGTGTCTTTGATAAAGGGAAACGAGACTTTACAGATTTACAGGCAAAATTATTTAATTTATTAGAATACAAAAAGCAAATTATTTTTTTTTTTAAATATTACTGCTTCAGTTTAACAACTATATATTTTATATAT